ACTGTTATCCATATATATATATTTAACTCGTCCATAACTAAAGACGCACAAAAAATTATTATTATTTTTTTAAAAATGATAATTTATTTTTTAAAATATATAAATTCTATTTTAAAATTTGAAACTTGAATTTTAAATAGTTTATAACAAAATCTCTTTATATATTATTGAGTTAAATAGTGTGTTTTATTTAAAAATAAAATAAAAAATTATATGTTATGTATATTTAAAATATATATATCACCAATCAATCACTATTATTACAATAATTTATAATTTTTACAACAAAAATATTACTAATAGATCATCTACTCTCATAATAACTTCGAATTTTAAACAAGGTCAATTAAAATATTATCAAATTATATTTATTTAATTTGAATTATTATAAATATAATTTTATGGTTTTGTGATAGATATAGTCGCACCAAAGATTTGATGAATTTTTTAATTAAAAAATTAAACAAATTCATTATAAATACAAAAAACTCAACAGAAACAGTACAGACTCATCATAAATTATATATAGATGACAATAGATAAAGAAAAAAAATCTCTTCATAATTAATGGAACCCATCTGTCAAGGGCTGAAACATGTAAAGGTGGAAGCATTATTCGCTAATGAATAATATATTTATTTAATTATTTTCTTTAGTTATCGAAGTTCTCAGCATTGTCTTTTTAATTCAATACTCAATATTAGATAATATAATTTATTTCATTTTCTTTTGTCATACAATCTATTTATTCATCTCTATTTATTCTGCTTAAATTAAACCGTAAGCTCCTATGATGGTTCCAAAAGTTGTAAATTTATGAAAAGTATTATATAAAATCAGTCATCCAAATAGTTATTAAAAAAAGTGTATACAAATTTAAACTTATAACTGAAAGATTTCCTCCTTCAAAATGTCAAATATGTTATTTTATTCAAATTCTAATTTCTATCACAGATACTAAATTATTCATTGTGTAAAATAAAATCATCATTTTTAACCAATAGATTAAAAATATTAGAAATACTTTACAAAATTAAGCATAGTTATCCACGTAAAGAAAAAATCAGTCATATTTTGAACCAGTATTAGATGAGCTAAAATTTTTAAAATTATTTTGGAGTATTTAAAAAATATAGAGAATAGAAATATATATTGATTATTGATATATATATATAATTATATGATAAAATCTTTTAAAAAATTTAAAACATATAAAATCTTTTGGATATAATTAAAGGATGATTTTTTTTTGTTTTTTTAAAAAGCATATACTATTTGATATTTTACATCACAATCAATAATGAAATTTGAAATGGTAAACATTGAAATGAGTTTTTTTTACTGTTCCTCTACCAAAATTCATTGGACTATCTATTAAATTGAGTTCTAATATATTAACTATATAAAGTATGATAAAGGGACACCTTAAATCAAATCCAGAACATTATTCCAAAACACAAAATCAATCATCACACACACACAAAAAAAAATACCTACCACTGAAAGCTCTACTTATACGGTTATAACAATCAATTCAATATGGGGCCACGACACGTCAAGATAACGATAATTATTTTATTTTATAACCTAGAAACGTGAAATTGATGAAACACTGTGTAAAAAATTACTATTTATTTTTTTCTCAGTATTATCAGTGTAAAATAGTGGACACGACCCTTGGAATAGCCGTGAAGATGGCAGATTTGCAAAATTGCATTCGTTTTTTATTTTTATATTTAATTTTTTGAGAAAAATAGTTAAGAGAGATGGTCAGGGGACAAAAAGATTAGATCGGAACCGTTCAAAAGTTTAGACGTACAGTAAACAAAGAAAAGCGCGATGTCGCTGATAATTCCTCCAAACCCCGTACGCAAAGTATACCAATCACGGGTGATACCCGAATCTCCAAACTTATAGAGAGAGATGTTTTTTCCTTTGAGTGGGACCCACGGTTTCATAAACCCGAATGTATGTATATATATGTATCCGCATGTACATATGTGTACCCTTCTTATTCACCTAAAAAAATTCCATAAACATACTTGATGCCATATATCCATATTCAACCGATCTTCAAAAAAAATATGTGCGTGTATATTTGTATATATATACATGCCTTGCTTTTATATGGTGGAGGTTTTTATTTTTATTTTGTCTGCAATATAAAACAGTTTATTTTAATTCATGGGCCAATTATACGAGCACTTTTACTACAAAACACCAGAACTCAACACATGTTTTGTAACGAATCTGGGCATGGTATAGTTGTTTAAACTAAGGTTTTCATTGGAATATACACAGTGGTTATTGTTAGGTAAAGAGGTAAATAACGCACTTCAATTTTAATTATGCTTTTTATTTTTAAATTTAACCGCTAAAATAACGCCCCCCGCCCCTCTCTCCCCACTTATTTTTGGCGGCACCAGAACCGGGAGATGCACAAGCACTCTCTCTCTCTCTCTCTCCGGATTTCGCTCCGTGTGATTCTTTTCCATGGTTCGGTAGATTTTCACGAGTCTAATCGTCCAAGGAAAATCAGAAGATTTACCTTTTAATTCACTGCAGAAACAATCAATACCCATGTCCCCAGTTTCCTCTTTTTATCCTCAGATTCTTTAAATGTGTACGGAACATCGGAAGTCACTGTCGTCTTCTTCAGATGGGTGAGACTAATGGCACTGGTAATGGCGGTTCCTCTCTCTCCGGTCTCCCCCCCTTCCATGAAACAGAGCCTTGTCTCCACGAAGACCCGTGTTCTGTCGACGAAGAGTATGTGTCGGAGCTGGTTCGGAGAGAGACCCGTCGTCTCGGATCCCAACCCGATCAAACGGCGCCGTCTTCCTCTGGTCGTACGGTAGCCGGCTCTACCTGGCTTAGACTGGCCAGATTGGACGCCGTCGATTGGATCGTCCATGTCCGTACTCGCTTCCTCGAAAACCCTTTTGCTCTCTCTCTTTTCATGTGTAATGTGTGAATTTTAGTTTTTTGTAATCAGACGGGAGCTAAATTGGGTTTGGAGCATCCGACAACGTATCTGGGAATTTATTATCTCGACACGTTCCTGTGGAGAAGATCCATCGATGTGAGCAACTCAACTCAATCTACTGATTATCAATCTTTGAGTTATGTTCTTTGACGATCGAAACTTATCTGCAGGAGGGGAAATCTTGGGCGATTCGCTTGTTGTCCGTTGCTTGTTTATCCTTAGCGGCGAAAATGGAAGAACACAGTGTTCCGTCTTTATCAGAACTCCCGTCAGAAGATTACGTTTTCGGATCCAAAGTGATACAGAGAATGGAACTCTTAGTTCTCTCGACGTTGGATTGGAGGATGAATTCGGTCACTCCTTTCGATTTCTTGCATTACTTCGTTCTCAAGTTCGTAAAGGACGAACCTTTCGCAAATGGGTCGCCGTCAAGAATCTCGGAATCTCTTCTCGAGATCACAAAGGGTAATAAATTCAATCAGTACCCATTAAGAATGAATCAGAAGAGATAGTCATAAAGCCATAGTTATTGACAGAATGTTTCGGTTTTCTTTGTATAGAAATCACTCTGAATGGTCATCGACCGTCGGTTATGGCTGCTGCAGCTGTCTTAGCTGCATCAGATACTGAACTGACGAGAGAAGAGTTAGGGACAAAGCTTAGCTCCATACCATGGTGGATATCCAGTGAGAATGTGAGTATAAATAGTATCAAATATTGTGCATTTTGATAAAGAAAAATGTTGATTCTTGGACTGACAATATTGAGATTTGGGTGCAGGAGAATGTGTATTCATGTTATCAGATAATGCAGGAGATTGAAGAGAGGAGACAGAGGACGCCAGATTCGGCGATTTTCCGGGGAAAACAGCCAATGAATTCCGCTTCAACAGATATCGTCGATGAATCTTGTTTGGCATCTAAACGCCGCCTCCCCTTTGATGGATCTGATCAAATTTCTCTGGCCAAGAACATGCATCGGCCGTAAGCTATTTTCGTGGATCTTAGATTTGATTGATTCTGTATTTTTTCCCGTTTATCCTAATTTACTTCGGCATCTTGGTTTGTGGAAATGTCCTATAGCATAAGGTTATTTTCATGTTTTAGTTATAGGTTGGTATTGGGTGATGTCTTTAATCAGAGGAGTGTCTTCATGGTATTGATAATTTGGGTGGGGGTTAAATTGTTACCACCAAAACTTAGGGGTCTCTTCCGGGAAAACCAATGAATTGTTGGGGGATTCGCAAAAAAAAAAGGAAGCGTAAATAGATAAGGGAGGAGAGTTTTTATTAGGCTATGGTTGTGGTGAGTGATTACGTTTCCGGTGGGTGATACTATTGTAGAATTTGCATTTCAACCCCATCCTTTTCTTTTCCTTTTAGTTCTTTCTTCTTTTTTTTACATTTTTCAACTTTTCTTAATTTTTTATATCCTTTTAGTTAATTGTGATGGGAAATATACGATTTTTATATGAAAGTCTATCACTTTGCCATCCCTTGGGACTTTTGAATTGGGGAGATTTGTATTGTCCTCTGCTTCTAAAGGCTCACAGCCAATGAAGAAGAATGAATGAAATTCTATTTCCTTTTTTTTTTCTTTTTATCTTTGTGTTTGATTTGATCCACTTTAGGCAATTTCAAAAGATTCTGCAAAGTGAATCCATCTGCATTTAGTCCTTAAAGTTCTTTTACTTGCCAAAAGTTACAAGAGATCTTTTCTTTTTCCCACCAATGATGAATCATATATCCTGGATTTTAAATGGGGAAAAATTACTTTAAAGTAAATAAATAGTCACCATCATGAAAAAAATGAAAAACATTATTCAGCAATTTACTTTTTGGGATAATTTTGCTGTGGATCCATACCAATGGTTACACCTCAAATGTAGAAGTCACCATCATGCAAAAAAAAATATATGAAAAAACATTATTATAACACAGCTGGTTTCCTTAGTTAAAAATACTCATGTTATCCTTATAATTAGAAATGATTGGAAAGGGAATTACATAAAGGATACATAATCTTGCCAATAAAAACAAGACCCTTCACATTATTATTATTATTATTTATTACATCAGAAAATTTCCCTTGTGACATTGCACAAATCATCAAGTACAGACATTCTTTGATAATGTAATGTATGTGTGTATGGCTAGGCCAATGGTTTTTTTTTTCTTTTTCCAAAGGCTATGGAACTCAAAGGGGCATAAAGGGTCACTCTGTTCTTCACCAGAACAAGTAAATGCTCTCCATTGATTATCTGTAGGACCCAAAAGCTGTACTGTTATCCATCAATGAGTCTTGACCTCTTCTTCTTCATCGTCTTGAGGGCATGAGATTCATTTACAGATCATGAAAACTAAATCTAAAAAGCTTGTAAATATCGAATTATATCGATAACCTATCTTCATGTTTACATATCTTGCAGTCACTGAAATGCATTATCTTAACTTTGTTCTTTCAATGGTGGGTTGAACAAGAGATTAGATGTGTCTTTCCATTACACTTGAAGACTGTTTTGTTTGTTTTTCGTCTTCGTGTTCTTAATGACCCTCTTCTCTTTTTCTCTGTCTGCAATTCTCAGTTGGTCCAAATCTCTGCTTGAAGACTTTCTGTACCAAAACACAACGTAATGAAACAGAAAAAGATAAAAGAAAACTCGTTTCAAGAACAAAAATAACAAAGGGTTACACAAAAAAAAAGGGGAAGAGCAATGGTTGTCCTTAGCCTATCTCAACTGAAAGTGAAAAACATAGTACTTGTTAAAGATCTGCCCCTCTGTCACCTTCCTGTTTCCTTACACAGATTATATAACGAACTATGCGCGTAGAAAAACCGGTATATTAACCGAACGAATCAAACGGGTATCCTTTTGAGACCGGCGGCGATAGGCATGCCCAAGAAGCCGACGAATATACTGAAGAGCCACTGGCAAATTGTGAGGGGAGAGGTACTGGCAAATGTTCCCAAGAACTCGATGATTATGATCTGGAAGAAGACGGTGCAGCCGAGAACGGCCACAAACACGTAATTGTCCAATATGCCCTTGAAAACGTCAATCTCTTCCATCTCCCGTGAGCTTATCTCGTTGAAAACCTGGCAAGAAACCCCGAACAAATGAAGCATGAATGATCCTACTATCTCCCCTGCTTTAAATCTCGAGGATATGATATGATATGATATGATGTTTACCTGACAGAAGACGAAACAGTTGAAGATAAGGGTGTTCAGTATCAGCGTGGAATCTTCACCGTTCAGACCAAACATGGACTTTCCTTTGGCCTGGAGAATCCAGATGACAATGAACTGATACAGAGCCTGTCCTAATATGTTCCTCCACATCGAGTTGGTGATGAAATTGCCTCTCCTTCCGACGGGGGAGCGTTTCATCAGCTCGTCATTCGGTGGCTCAGTTGCCAGAGCAAGAGCTCCGAGTGTGTCCATTATCATGTTCACCCACAGCAGCTGAACAGCGGTTAGAGGAGCAGTCCCTGAAATTATTATTGCCCGGAACCTTGTAAAAAGTTCAAAGATGGAAACTTTAAACGTTTTTTTTCCAATGGACTGAACCGTCTTTCGTTATTTACCGGTCAAGCAAGCTGAAGAGAAGTTAACAATCAGAGCGACAACATTGACAGTGAGCTGGAACTGAACGAATTTCTGGATGTTTATGTAAACCGAACGTCCCCATTTAGCCACAGTAACGATCGTTGTGAAATTATCATCCAAGATAATAACATCTGCACTCTCTTTCGCCACCTGAAGTTTGAAAAACAAGAAAAACAATTCAAGAAGGTTACCGAAAATTTTGCTGTGATCTCTCTTCATGTCCTCACTGAGACAGCATATACATATGTTGCATATCGTATGTACTCACTTCAGTTCCGGCAATGCCCATTGCTAATCCGATGTCAGCTTCATGGAGGGCAGGTGCGTCATTTGTCCCGTCTCCGGTCACGGCAACAACTTCATCAAAAGTGGTCCTCAAATGTTTTACAAGTGTATGCTTGTCCATTGGCGAAGAACGAGCCATCACCTGTCAGACAAAAATCCCGAAAAGGAGCATATCTTAATTACAAGAATTCATAAAAAGAAACCGACTTTATGTATAAAAAAAAACGGCAACCTGAATCTTAGGGATCAGTTCAAGTAACTCATCCTGCTTCTTCTCTCTGAATTCAGGACCTTCAATGGCTATACCATCATCAGTAAGAATTCCACATTCTCTGGCAATAGCCTTTGCAGTGTTAATATTGTCTCCTGTAACCATTCTGACGGTAATACCAGCTCGGCGACAAACTTCAACAGATTCCTTTACACCCGGACGAACAGGATCCTTAATTCCCACAATCCCGATGCAAGTGAAACCCGAAAGTGGAATAGATTCATCTGGAGAAAACCCATTTTCGATATCGATATAGGCGAGGCAAAGAGTACGAAGAGCTTCACTGGCAAACTCATTGATTGTAACGTTAAGATACTTGATGGATTCTTCATCGAGTGGAACAACCTCGCCATTTGAGTTGAGAACTTTATCACAAGCAGCCAAAACTATTTCAGAAGCTCCTTTCGTGTGAGCACGGGTAAGTTTTCCTTCGGGTAGCTCGATTACGACTCCCATCCGTTTCTTTGTGGAGTTGAAAGGCTCAACTTTGACGACTTTGTAGGCTTTTCTCTCGTCCTGGAAACTGCCACCGAGCAATAATCCAAACTCCAATATAGCAGTCTCTGTCGGTGTTCCTAATATCTCAGTCTTTCCCTTTTTGTTCACAACAATTTCTCCCCCGGTGTTATTGAAGATTGACTGAAGCAACAGTTTCAGGGCAGATTCCGGTATTTCAGACCGCAAGCTAGAACCTTTCTGTTCAACGTCATGGATATTCAGACAAATGCAAGATCTGACGACGGTCATGTGGTTGGTGGTAAGTGTACCGGTCTTGTCACTGCAAATAGTCGTAGCCGATCCCATGGTCTCACAAGCTGCCAAGTGTCGGACAAGGGCTTTATCATTCATCATCTTCTTCATGGCAAACGCAAGGCTGAGAGTCACGGCCAAAGGCAAACCCTCTGGAACTGCCACGACGACAATTGTCACGGCAATGGCAAAGTATTCCAACAGTTCGAGGGCTTCATCCCCTGACCAGATCCAGTGAGTGCCCAATTGAAGCTTCCTCATGAACATTCCTTGCACCAGAACAGCAAAGGTGATCAAGGCAAAGAAAAGACCGATTTTCCCGATTATGGTAGCAACTCCATTCAGTTTCACCTGCAACGGAGTTTCGTCGTCACCACCTTCACTCAGAGTTGCCATCAGCTTTCCCCATTGGGTTCTCATCCCGACCGTGGTAACCATCATCTTGCAAGATCCATCCTGAACTTTGGTTCCAGAAAGTAGGTAAGGGTTTTGTGAATTCACCATCACAGGCTCACTTTCTCCCGTCAAACTCGATTCATCTATCACCACAGAGAACCCCGAGAGAAAGAGGCCATCAGCAGGGACTTGATCTCCGATAGCCAGATGAACGATATCACCAGGGAGCAATTCATAAATGGACATTTTCTGCCTAAACCCGTTTCTCGTCACCTGAACCGTGATCTTCTTTTTCTCCTTATCCAAGTCCCGAAACTGCAAAGACTGTCGGTAATCACTCGTTGCTGTGACAAACACGACAAGCAGGATACTGGCCACGATCCCGAGACCGTCATGAGCACCTTGTGGCCATCCTTCCGTTGCTATTCCCACTATCAACGAGACAAAAGCACACACACCTAGGATCATGAGTGTCATGTCCTGAAGAGCTTCATAAACGAATAGCCAGAAACTACGAGCTTCAGTCTCTGCAAACTTGTTGATTCCGAAAATCTCTTGCCTTCTGTTCAGCTGGTCAGTCTCTGTCGAGAGACCATTTGTGGTACAAGCCTTAAGCTTGCCTGCAAGGCCATCCACTCCGCCATGGAACTTGAGTTTCTTCACGTCATGGCCTTCAACTATGGATCCTAACTCGTCAGCACAAATGTCAAAGCCAGCAGCTTTGACCTCTTCAGGCACCGTGTAGTCACTTGGAGTGACACCTGCAGTTACCGGCAAAAAGAAAACCTAAACAAACAGAGAAACTCCGACACGGAACAAAACATGAAGATCTGAAAATGTCTGAACAAACCCACCTGAGATAAATTGGAAAGCCGCCTTTGAAACGAGGACTGCGACCCTTAACTTCTCCTGTATACGGGAGATTGGAAGATGATTATAAGCTTATGCCCAGATAGGTAGATTGAAGATTTTGGACATTCAGAAAGTGTAGACAAGGAGCTAAATCATGGGTAGATCTTTTGACAGATTCAGACAGACCCAGAACACAGAACAGTAACATTCATTGCAATTAAACTCATCCTATGTCGTGCCACATGAAGGCGATCAAAATAAAGCCACGATCTTTAGAAATATCAAGATTCGACGATCTCGTCATCGTAAAAGCCGATTCAAATGGAGAAATAATCGCACCAAGCACATGGGTCGCATAAAAAAGGAAACTTTTTCAAAGAATAGAGAAAACCTGATTGGTTCGACGCATGGCGGCGGCCTCGTAGCGTTTGGAGAGATTGGCAGTGAAGCGAAAACGCCGTTTAGGGTTCTTCACGACGCCGCAGAGCTTCCGCCATTTCTCTAGCACTTCCTCCGACGAATGCTTCGCCTTCACGTCGAAATTCTCGTTCAGATAACTCTCCATTTTCAGCCCTTTCCAGATCCCTTAGATCACAATCCTTCTCCTCCTCCTTCCAGCTTCAATGGCTGTTTCAGAGAAACGTCAATAGTTGATTGATTGATCCCTTTTTTTCTCTTTTTTTTCTTGTTTGCTGAAATGTTATGTTTTTTTGTTTGGGAATTTTTGTGGGGAAGAGAAGCAGCAGAAGAATCGGAAACCTGGTGGGGTGACAATGGCGAGTTTTAAGGTCTGAACTTTGTGCTCGAATTGACCGAGTCCTGAGTTGACTCGTTTATTTTTCGTGTGGCCAACTATCTCTATCATTTGATCAAACCCAGAACTTACTAAATAATAATAACGCATATAATAATAACGACCAAGAATTAAAATAAATGCTAATTAATAAACATTTCATGCGGTGAAGAACCCGAGAAATGTACCCGTTATGGTGGCTCACGAACTCGCCCATACATGTTTGGGCTATTTATCATCATGAGTCCAAATGAAATAATATATAATATAAGTTAATGTGATAGGAGGAACGTGGACGGAGGCTGTAAGAAAATGGACCACCACCAGGCGGGCTTTGGCTCCTTTGAATGCGTCAAGCGGATAGGGTTGGTCCAATTATTTAAATTAAATATAACCAACAGAAAAAGAATTTGATGCTTTGATTTGCACACAAAGTTTCGGGCTTTTTAAGTTGGCATCGGCTTTTGTTTTTATGTTATGGTCATCCCTGATTACCGTTAAATCCTCCATTAACATATATTCGGTACCAAATTCTCCTTCTTAACCGATTTTTCATCTATGCTTTGATGGATCGAAAATTACCAAAGATCTCCGATTTCGGCATGAAAAAATCTCCCAACTTGCGTTTATAATTGAAGAACATTAGCGATATCAACAAAAAATGGATGGAAATTGAACGAGTAAAACCAATTTTTTAACAGATTAACCATGGATTTTTCTCTCTCTAGTTCTCTGTACTTGTAGTTAATCGAGGGTTAACAAGTTAATTACGCCGTAGCTCTAAGGTGGAAATCTCTTATAACAGCCCCAAACCCTAAACCCTAGACACTCAACCCAAATATACAAAATCGAATACTAGTGACGAATCAAAGCCTACGAATCATCATCACTCCATTTCTGCAACACATTTCGCCAAAGAACGCCTCGGAAATTCTGAATCAATTCATACTACCCGGAAAAAGTCGATTACCAAATCAAAATTTCACCTCAATCCAAACACATTGCGTAATCCTTCCCTTCAGTTCCAAAATCAATCCAATGAATCGCGAATTGCAGAACCCAATTATAAGATTTTGAAAGGAAAAAAAACTTAGCTCAATCGACATTCTGCATGACATCTTCAGCAGTGAACTTCGTCCCCTTGTCCTTATCGGCGGCGGCTCGTCCCTTCGCCTTCCGATCGAGCAGAGACTTCCGGTCCTTGTCGAGCTTCAGCTTCGTGATGACAACCTTTGACGGATTGACGCCGACGTTGACCGTAGTGCCATTGACCTTCTCCCGCGTGATTCTCTCGATGTGGATCACCCACTTCCGCCGGTACACCTGCACGATCTTGCCCTCACGCCCCTTGTACGAGCCGCGAACCACCTGGACCTCGTCGTCCTTTCGGACCGGCATCGACCGAACGTTGTACTTCTGTCGGAGATCGCCGGAGAGTGGCGCGCTCATTAGCACGCGCCTAACGCTCGACGGCGCCGTGAAGTGCGCCTTCCTGTTCTTCCGCCGGGACGAGCTCACTCTCGGATTGTACTTCATCTTCTTCCTCTGCTTCTGTTGCTCTCGGAGCTAGGGTTTCGGCGAGAGAGAGTATTTATATATGAGGGTGGAAGATTGAACCGACGTCGTTTAACCTATGTAGGGTTTACGGCCAAGCACTTATTGGGCCCAATGAGTTGTTGAGCCCAAACATATTTTGCTATAATGGGCCCAATGATTCCCCTTATTTTTGGTGATGTCGAGACCATTTGTGTTACTGAAGTCACCGTGACATCATTGTTTACGTACAATATATTTACATTATGTATTTAAATAAATTATAAATTGGGCTCGTATCAACTTTTATGCATTTGATGATCCCATATAGTGGAAAATGTCATTGTCAAAATGCAAGGAGGTTTTGTTTTTATACAGTTTTTACTTGAATTGATTTTGATTTATGAAATTTCTTTTCTTTCGGGTCACTTGTTTGTATTAATCCTCTAATCACGAAGAGAAAGCATTATAATTATTCAATTATAGATATAATATATGGTGCTTAATTAATTTAATTTCCTTTACATAAAAGTCTTACTTAACTTTTCTGTGATTGATGGAAATTAAATTTAAACAATTATCTCCAAGCTAATTAAAGCTAGTTAAACGACCAATAATTAACGAAATTATTTTCGTAACTGAAAATGAGTATGGTTGCTCAACTGTCGGATAGGATTTTGCTTTGTGCCAAATTAAAAAAAATGTCGGCAACAGCAGTGTACAGTAATTTTTGTGTTTTCAGGTTTTTGCTAATTATAAATTTATATTGCTAATCACTTTATCTGACCCCGATTGTAAATTTTCTTGTCACTTTGGTATCATTAAGTATAATTAATAACCAATTATCTTTATTTTACAAATTGTAAAAATCATATGTTCGTGTCCTAAAAGAATTATATATACTGTCGGTTTACGTACCTGAAATAGAGAATATACACCATTTTGTATTGATAAAAATACTTTTACTATTGTAATATATATATATATACGTAAAAAAAATGGTGACAAATTCGTATGTCCGGACAAAATCGCCGTCCCGTAAAATGCAACAGCAGCAGAGCGTGGAGTTGATACTAATGATTGAAGAAGAAACCCATAGAAACATATGAGAGAACAGAGACATAACGCCGAGGAACAGAACAAACGTAATTGTATTACACATTTAACAAAAGCAAAATCCTTTTGATACTGAGACAAGAGAATACGTACAAACTCTAACTATATCTATATATATATACGTATATATATACACACACATGTGATATACGGGGAATCTCCTTGGCTAGATTTTTTAGTTTGGGTGTAGATCCATAACCAACGGGCACAAACATATGCACAAGAGAAACCTTTGGTTTCCATAGTATGTCGGAAACTTGAACAACATATATATACCATTCCGTACGATGAATATACAACTCATGTATATATGTACATATGTTTCAGCATAAAAAGATTTGAAAACTATAGCAACGGAGTTATATATATATATATATATAATTCAAACTACAATATATCACACATATGTGTGTAATTGGATAGAAACTATTCTGTCTGGAACAATGTATTAAAATGATTAGGGTTTAGGGAAGAAAACATGGGCTTTTGCATTGAGACAAAAGGCGGAAAACCAAAGTAAATTTCAGGTTTTTGGGAAGTGATCATCATCATGATGTGCCTATATGGTTAATTAAGGATATGTTTGTATATACAAAAAATACACACCACACAAAATACAATATAGCAGAGAATAAATAGAATCATGGTGGGGGTTTATAAACTAAGAAACAGGCGAGCATGCCCTAGATTTTGCGGGGAAAAGCCAAAACCAGTCATAATAATTACAGCTTATATATATATGTTCAAGGATTTTGTAGGGTTATAAAAACGGTCTTTGTGGGAATTAGAATATGACACATTTGATCCTTTACGGGTAAATACAACTAGGGAATAGAGTGACGAATGGTAAGATAATTAAATAATGATAACAAGAAGCATTGAAAAGGAAAAAAGAAGAGATGTGTGCCTTTGATGATGTTGATGCACGCCGGCAGCTTTAATCCACGCCTGCTCCCACTCACACCTATAACATTCTCTCTCTCTCTCCCTCCCCTATTTCTCTATCTCTCTATATAAGTACATATATACCTGTATCATTGCATGTATATGTAAGTGATAATATTTGTATATATTTAATATTTATATGCAAAAACTTGTTTAGTCATATGTATATATATATGTGCTACTTAATTAGGATATAGTTTAGGTTAAATACATATGTTTGCCATAGACGTGAAATACACGATAACCCATTGTCATGTGTCCAATATTTCAAATATATATATATATATATATATATCTAATTTTCACATTCTATAGCTATGCTAAAAAAGAAAACATGTATGAGTATATATACATAGATATACACATGTATATTTTTTGGGAAATTGTTTTGGCCCTCATTCTAAAATCATTCACACTAGTAGCTGTATACATATATAATGTATCCATATATGAAAACTTTGCAAAGATAAAATATATATATATATGTATATATATACATATTGTGTAATTGGAGATGCTGAGTTGGTCGGGTGGATGTGGGGAAAAGGAAGAAAAAGCAAAACCCACTAACACATGAAGTGAAATCGACCTTCTTAACTTTTTCTTCCTTTTTTTATTTTCTCGCCTTTTGTCAGACAGAAATTCTATCCCTGAAAACACCAAAGTTGGGCTAACTAATTCAACATCACCTCTCTCGGTTTATTTTTCCCACAAATAAAAAACCAGTTATATATATATATATAATTAACCCATCAATAATCCCTGTCCAATGAAGTTTTCAACCAAAAAATAAGGAAAATTTTATATAATTAACCTAACCCTAACCGCCTCATAATTTGAGGGTAGATACCATTAATTAGTCGGGCGAATGAATAATGCCATCATCCTATTTCCTCTCTCGCTCTCTCTATTGTTATGTTTTTCACATTACCCGATTGATTGTGGCCTGTAATCTATAAGCCGAAAAAGATTAAAGAGTGAAAAATCCGAGGCAAAAGATCCTCTCTCCTTCAACGCTTTTTTTTTTTTAAAAAAAAACGGTTCCCTATACAATTCTCCAAAGTTTAAAAACTCAATCCATCCACAAACACAAACACTCATCTCTCTTCCCGTTCGAGAAGAAGAAGATTCACCCATTTTTGAACTTCAACCCTCCGAGAGAGAGAGAGAGAGAGAGAGAGAGAGAGAGAGAGAGAGAGAGAGAGAGAGAGAGAGAGAGAGAGAGAGAGAGAGAGAGAGAGAGAAGAGACACATGCAAAACACTTGCTTTGTGATAAAATCTTGATATGTATAGTGTGGGTCTATTTCATTTTCTTATTCGTTAAAAATGGATACACTCTTTAGACTAGTCAGCCTCCAACAACAACAATCCGATAGTGTCATTACAAATCACTCGTCGCTAAGCAGAACCTCCACCACAGCTAGTGGCTCTCCGCATCGTTTCCTCCAACATCACGACGAAGAATGCTTCAACTTTTTCATGGATGAAGAAGATCTCTCCTCTTCTTCTTCCCGCCACCACCACTTCTACTCCCCTTACCCTCCACCTCACTATCCCTCCGCCACGTCAGCACCTTCCCTCCCTTCCTCCATTGCCTCCCCCTTCTCCTCGTCCTCATCTTTCTCCGTCCCTCAGCCCTTCAACTCGTTCGATTTCTCCTCCAATGCCAAGTGGGCCGACTCGGTCTTGCTCGACGCTGCTCGGGCAATTGCCGAAAACGACACCGTTCGTTTGCCGCAGGTTCTTTGGATGCTGAACGAGCTTTCTTCACCTTACGGTGATATCGAGCAGAAGCTCGGGTCGTATTTCCTCCAGGCTCTGTTCAACCGCATGACCGGCTCGGGCGAACGCTGCTACCGAACCATGGCTGCAGCCGCTGCGTCCGAGAAGACTTTCTCGTTTGAGTCGACTCGCAAGACCGTTCTCAAGTTCCAAGAAGTCAGCCCATGGGCCACTTTCGGCCACGTGGCGGCCAACGGAGCGATCTTGGAGGCGGTCGACGGTGAACCGAAGATCCATATCGTCGACATAAGCTCCACGTACTGCACTCAGTGGCCGACCCTCCTCGAAGCCATCGCGACTCGGTCCGACGACACGCCTCACCTGAGGCTGACCACCGTCGTCATCTCCAACAAGTTCGTCGACGATCAAACGGCGTCGCATCGGCTGGTGAAGGAGATCGGTAACCGAATGGAGAAGTTCGCTAGGCTCATGGGAGTGCCTTTCAAGTTCCAAATCATTCACCACGTCGGCGACTTATCCGAGCTCGATCTTGCGAAACTTGACGTCCAAAATGACGAGGTTTTGGCCATCAACTGCGTCGGAGCCATGCATGGGATCGCCGCCGTCGGAAACCCTAGAGACGCCGTCATCTCCATCTTCCGGCGGCTTCAGCCGAGGATCGTCACCGTCATAGAAGAAGAATCCGACCTTTCGGACCCGGGAAACGATGGCGTTTCGTTCATGAAAGGGTTTCAAGAATGTCTACGTTGGTTTAGGGTCTACTTTGAATCACTCGAAGAGAGCTTTCCGAGAACTAGCAACGAGAGACTGATGCTGGAGAGAGCGGCCGGGAGGGCGATCGTGGAATTGGTGGCATGTCAGCCGTCGGATTCCGTCGAGCGGAGGGAGACGGCGGCGATGTGGTCGCGGAGGCTGAGGGCCGGAGGATTTGCTCCGGTGGGGTATAGCGATGAAGTGGTTGACGATGTCAGGGCTTTGTTGAGGAGATACAAAGAAGGTGTTTGGTCAACGGTACAATGCTCCGACGCCGGAATATTCCTTGCCTGGAAAGATCAGCCGGTGGTTTGGGCCAGCGCGTGGCGCCCCATGTGATCTCCGGCGGCGGCTGAGGTGCGGTGGCTAGGGTTTCATCATACGCGTGTGGTTATATAATGGGTCATGATTAAATTAAGGTTTGAGAGTTGAGATGATGGAATGCGTTCATATTGGATTTTGTTTTCGGGTAGGACTAATCACTATCATGAGAAAGCGATCCCTAGAGTCAAAATTCGTGATTTCTTTTTTTTTTTATCTATTTATTTCTTCTTTCGGAATTTGTGATTAATTTGGTTATGCAAAAGAATAGGATTTTCTTTCGATTATAAAATTCTATATTTTGTTTTCCTACCTTATTAACGGTTTTTAGTGTTTGTCGACTAATATTTGTCAGAGCTCTTTGCAAATTTAATGTGGGATTTAAAAGGATTCATGAAGTTCCTGACAAATGACGTGAAATCTACGAACATATATCTATTTTGGCAACGACGTTCGTCCCCATTCATATGGAATTTTGTACATATGTATATAAACTCAAGCAACTAAATAAAAACGCGACAAAAAGAAAAGCCACACCCACGTACGTATGCATAATATCAATTAATATGATGGAAATTAAATACTCTATCAGACTTTATAAAAAATATTGGACGGTGAAAGTATCATCTCCAAGACATTGCCACGTTACCGTTCCAAGACATGATTTCTGCAAGAACAAGAGTTTTAAAGCTTTTATTGCGCCTTAAACCAGTGAGATTTTTAAACTAATTTATTAATAGAAAACAAAAATAACATATTGATTAGGAGCATAGGGAAAGGCTCGGTATGTGGAATCATGGATAGGGAATATAAACCTTTTGGTGGAATCTTATAAAGGTATCCTCTAGTGGCCTGCACGCTTCTCATACTTACCACCATTTCTTAATCTCCTTAATATATATATATATATGCTATCGTTCTCGAAACAAATCATGAAAATTTTCTAAATGGCTATCGAATTTTCCGTAAAAAAACCGAAACGATTTTTTTTTAAAAACTTGAAAAACCGAAAATTTGTTAAGAAAATATATGATTTTCTTAATAAAAAATGAATTGAATTGAAACCGAATATAAAATAATAACCGATCGATATATTTTTTAGAATCAAAAGAAGTGAAACGAATAATTTCCGAACCGAATACCAAAACGCCTATATGCTGGTACTCTTATAGTGATCAAATACGCATGCAAAGCACCGTAACGTTTCATGATTTGCATATGAAATTTAAGTTATTTCACGACTAGAGTACGTATGACAAAATCACGTCGAGTAAAAAAAAATTGAAATTTTCATTTCAAATAATCGGACGGGTTCTTTTAATAATGCTTCTTCCAACTTTTGCTTTACAAAAAAGAAAGGGACCAGGCTTTCATTGATTTATTTCTCTTTGTGGCTACTTATTTATCTATGCATAACACATGCATATATCTAAAAATGTTCATGGCTCCCCTACTTATTTATCTATGGGTACCAATGTAGTCAGAAATATATATATTTTTTTTGTGTTCAATAATAGTTAAAAAAATTATTTTTTGAAAATATAACAACAACAACAACAACAGTAATAATAAATAAAAAAAAGGCAGTGGGAACTGCTTTTGATGGGGAATTGGTATGATCTTTGGCATCCGCTTTCTAAGCTCTTCTTTTTCTTTTTAATACAAAAAATTATCTTCTTTTGGTCTGTTATTGTGTTTTTAAAGTCATGCAAAAGTAAAAAAAGGAAAAACAAGTTGGCCAATTTTCGCTTTAACGAGAAGCAATCTTCTCGGGCCCCTTATGTACAACGACAAGACCAATACACACGTCTCCCTATATACCTTATATCTTACTATTACAAACGTTAGTAAGTGTGTGTGTGTGTATATATATATATATATATATATACATCAGAGTTGTATATTTCCAAAAGTTGTCTTAATCGATTATAAAATCTAAACTGCTATTTAATAAAACATAATTATATGAAATTAATTTATTAAATCATATATATTTTATAGTTAGATAATATCGTAATTTTCGAAGTACTTAATGGGCCTAAATTCTTAATGGACCTAAATGGGCTATCCGATAGCCGAATTCTCTCCAAACCGAAACCCTGATTGCATAAAAGACGCATTTATGCCCACATGACGAAGAAAAGCAATGTCCTGTCCAATCATTGTCCTCTTCGTGTTCCGATAAGGAAAAACTAAGAATGAAGTCAAAACGGAAGACAATGTCAAGCTAGGGATGATAAAACTAGAATCAGAAATTTCATAGAGACCAGTGCAAGGAAATGACACGTGGCAGAAACCTATGCAAACAGGGAACTTGGGAAAAAAATTCGACTATAAATAGAGACAACCCAATAAGAGAAACAAATTAAAATCTTCGACTTTTCCTTTGTGAGCATTCAAAGCGCGACATAAGATACGAAGTCTTTTTCTGCGTTATAAGTTTCTAGAAAATTAACTTTCTATCATTCAAAGTATGAAATTTTGGAGTGATAATAAATAAAATTTTTAGTCGATAGTTTCGAGTTCATATTTTATAAAACAATGTGTAGAGAACTCGTATGCTGTATTTTTTATTGTGGATTGATAAGAACTGTAAACTAATGTGTGTGTGTGTGTGTATATATATATATATATCCTTTAAATTAGAACGTGGAAATCCAAATGGCACAGTGTAGAGTTCTGGACCGGGACAGACCTTGTAAATTGATCGGAACATTAGGGTTCATTGCTACTTTTGTGACCATGATCCAGCTTGACCTCGTATCTCGTGCCTATAATGGTCGTGAAAAAAAAAGTTATGAAGGCGATGAATATGTGCCCCGAGAGAATCATGCGTTTTGTTGTTGCTTTTCTTTTTTTTTTCCAAAAAAAAAATTGATTTTATACAGAAAAACAAAGATAATCTAAACGAATATATGCCAAAGCTGTCTGAACAGAGTGTCCAAAGCAGATGCCTTAACTGTTGGAATATTTGTCACGTAAGATCCCTTGTCGGGAGAATCTCAACATTGCTTTTATCTATTTGTCATATCCATTGATCGACACGTAAGCTCGTTTCAAAACATTTCACCTTCCGGCGCATTTTAGCAACACTAGTTTCGGTGACCAGAGAGTTGCACACACCTGAGATTGTGACCAACTAAGAGTAAGTTTTATATATTACATGCAATTTTAATCATATCGTGATGATAAATGCATGTATTGGAAAAAAAACACAGTCGAACACACACTCCAACTGTTTTGGGGGAAACACAGTCCAACTGTTTCCAGTCATCGCCGATGGGCAAATGCGGCGGTGCAAGAACCAGAGCCCCCGTCTGTTTCTCCGACGGCCTCCTCTTCCTCGGCGGAGCTATCATGGCTCTCCTCCTTGTCTGGTCCTTTTTCTCCTTCTACTATCCTTCCCCTAACATTGCCATTTCCGGCGTCAAATCCGACGACGACCCTCTAAAATGCTGTGGATGCTCTCGCGGCCTCGACCTCCGGTACGACCCGCCCGACCCGGTTTTCTACGATGATCCGGATCTCAGTTACTCCATCGACAAACCCGTCAAGGGCTGGGACGAGAAACGTAGAGGGTGGCTCGAGCTTCACCCGTCGTTCAAAACCGGAGCAGAGAACCGGATCGTGATGGTTACCGGGTCGCAGCCAACACCCTGCAAGAACCCGACCGGTGACCATCTCTTGCTGCGGTTATTCAAGAACAAGGTCGATTACTGTCGGATCCATGGCTACGAAATCTTCTACAGCAATTCACTGCTTCATCCGAAGATGGGTTCATACTGGGCGAAGTTGCCGGCGGTGAAGGCGGCGATGCTGGCTCACCCGGAAGCAGAGTGGATCTGGTGGGTCGACTCGGACGCACTCTTCACAGACATGGACTTCACCGTCCCTTTCGCCCGTTACCGTGACCGCAACCTCGTCGTCCACGGCTGGACGGAGCTCGTCTACGACAAACGGAGCTGGACGGCGTTAAACGCCGGCGTCTTCCTCATGAGGAATTGTCAATGGTCGATGGAGTTAATAGACACATGGACTGGGATGGGGCCCAGAACCCCTGATTACGAGAAGTGGGGGAAGATCCAACGGTCAATATTCAAGGACAATCTGTTCCCTGAGTCGGACGATCAGACGGCTCTGATTTACTTGCTTTACAAATACAAGGAGGTGTACCATAATAAGATATACCTCGAAAGAGAGTATTATTTCAACGGGTATTGGTTAGAAATCGTAGGGAGTTTTGATAACGTGACGGAGCGGTACCTGGATATGGAACGAGAGGACGCCACGTGTCGAAGAAGGCACGCGGAGATGGTGAGCGAGCGATACGGTGCGTTTAGGGAGGAGAGGTTCCTGAAGGGAGGGGAAGGAAGGAGGCCCTTCATCACGCACTTCACGGGGTGTGAGCCTTGCAGTGGGGACCATAACAGTACGATGGTGACATGTGTCAGAATGGAATGATCAGAGCCCTTAATTTCGCTGATAATCAGGTGATGCGCAGCTATGGATTCGTACACTCGGATCTACTCAATACCTCCCCTCTCCAACATGTACCGTTCGATTATCCTAATCGGCAACGATGATTTGGTCGTGAAACTGAAACCTATTTATCATCATCGTCATCATCATTATTGTTATTATTATTGTTTTTTTTGTAAGGTTTGTACCCAAAGTTGATCGTATTATTATTATTATTTAAATTTAAACTATGAGTCTATCGTCAGTGGGATTCAGACAAATCCATAAAAAGTTGCCGTTCGTCGCTTTGTTCTGAAACATATATGGGCCGTACAGCGTTTTTGGCGTCAATAACGATTGCGGTAATCCCCCAACTCTGTTGGTTTGAGAGCTCCCTTCCTGTAAACGAGGTCGTGGGTTCAACACTCAAAGTATGGAGATTCCCCTCCTGCCACCTTCGGGTGTTTCACATCCCACGTGTATGTTGCAGGATCGTGCGCGTGGGTCGGGATTAGTCTGGACTTTTGAGTTTGAAATCACCCGATTATCAAAATATATATATATATATATATATATATATATATATATGGGCCGTACACTTTGTCCATGTCTTAGTGAAAATCTTCATTCGTCTTTATCTTCTACGAAAACTTATTTTTTGACGAGTCGAATTATGAGTAAATTTTTATTTTTTTTACAACCAAGTTGGAAAACCCATTAGCTCTATATTCTGTGACAAGAACACGCGATTACAAACCCATGTGCACCCAATACGTATAAATGGACCATCCTTATAGGTCTATTTATTTCGTGAAACAAACTAATCGCACTTGATATCAAATGAATCCTTA